GTAATTAGTTACTGATTACTTTTTTCAAGTAACTTGACCAACACTGATCTTACCAGAAACACTACAGGGGGCGCTCCGATCAGAGCCATGGATGTGGACAGCTTCCTCATGTTTCCTCCGCTGTAGCTTCCAGCTGCTTTATCTGCATACTTGACCAGACTCAGCTTCCTGATACCCCACTCTGCTACCTGTCAATCAAAAAGCAGCAGAATCATCATGATGAGCATTATCATGGGTAGCAGATGCACAGCAGTGTGTTGCTCAGGGTGTCTTATTATTTAAAACTGCATATTTACAATGTGTGTTGGCAGTGCATGTTTGCTTTGTGCTTTTGAGTGTTTGCAGTCTGTTGGCAGTGTGTTTACACTCACGTCACACACTTCCTTCTCAGGCACCCCTCTGAGGATGGCGTACAGCTCCAGATGCTCTCTTCCTGTCAGCAGCTCGTTGATGGCGTCAAACTGAGGACAGTAACCCATGTTTCGATGCACCTCGTCGATCTCCCGCAGGATGCTGCAAACACACAGATATTAGCATGAAGAGCAGAAAAATACTTTAATTTAAATTTAGATTAATCCTCTTGCTGTCCCACCACTGCACCTGTGCCTAGTGTGACTTTTTGGGGGATGGAGGACGGTGTGTGAGGGCGAAGGCCCCGCAGGGAACATTGCGCAGCTCTGCACATGAATTGCTGACAATTATAAAATAATGGAGCAACTTCCTGGCTTTGTTTTATCAACTTTGTTTGAGCTGCTGAACGAGGATCCAAGCAGCGAGTAATGAGCTGCTCGGCTGTTAAAGCTTCAGCTCAGGTTGTGTTTGCACAGTCAGAAGAAATCACGAGAAGACAAAGCCCTCAGAGATGAAGAGGCTCATGTCTTTAGTTAATTAATCAGTGTTCATGATTTGGAATAACATGGCGGCTGGCTCCACAGATTTTAAATCCATGATTTCTACCTTAGATGTTCTTCCTGATACAACCCCAAAGAGATTTCAGGATCGATCCAGAGATCTTTCAC